CGGCACCCCTTGCTAGACGTGCCGAGACTACCTCGTGAGAAAGTCTCGGCACGTTTAAATTTTGCGGCACCGGTGCCGATTTTTGTCACGTTTACACGCCAAAAGGCAGAGGTGCCGTGCCTAAAATTTTGGGCACGGGTGCCTATTTTTAGGGGTGCCGTGCCCAAAACACTGGTCGTGTAAACCGGCCTATAGATGCAAATGATAGTATGTTTTGCTTTGAGGACATCCCGGTCATGCTGGAATCTTTTATATCTGCATATTTTTCTGCATGGCGTGTGAAATGTAGACATGTTTTGGTTGCTTTGAAGTAGTACATGATATATAACTTAATTGGCCTCGGTAATAATCTCATATTACTCCTTATGATACGCGTTTAATATCATAGTCACGATTTAAAGAAAGCTGTTCTTTTCGAACACGATATTTTACTGTAAACGTTTCGGCCAGAGCAGTGAAATTTTATTTAAATCGTATACTTGCTGCAAAGTATGAACTAAATTTTAGTTCGGTGAAATTGCATTGCTATCATAAAATATGAAAATTGGAATATTACTCATTGGTTTATAATATGTTGCAGGTATATTGTTGATTGGAGCCCCAGGCACTGGTAAAACGTTACTTGCAAAAGCTGTAGCAGGTGAGGCTGGAGTGCCATTTTTCTTCTGTTCTGGAGCTGAATTTGATGAAATGTTTGTCGGTGTTGGTGCTGCCAGAGTAAGAAACCTGTTTGGTAAGTGGATCAAAATGTTTTATTTGAGTGAATTGAGTCTCAGCTTGTTACTATATTCCACCAAACACCGTAGGTACGAGCAGTAACACTTGACCATTATAATGGATGAGCTTTGTTGGACCTCTAGATAAATAATCGATATCATGTATGCCTTATCGGTAGACAATCGGAATCGGTAGAATTATTTGTATTCCCGATTGTGTAAAACAGATTGTTGAGAAAATACGCACTTTAAAAATTATATGCATCGCGTGTTGATACACGTTGCGTTTTAACGCAATATGTTAAATTAACGCGTGATGCGTACCATAATTTATGAACGGTTTTAACGAATTTTGCGTGTAAAGTTTGTTCGTTCACTGCAACCAGGTATATCAATCATGTTTCGCTCGCTACTCTGGTTTAAATAAATGATTACAAAGCCCAGTCGAATAGTAATCAAGACCCAACGAAACGTTGGAAATGTCACGTTAGAAATTATTGCTAAATAATCTAAATGAATGACGTCACCTTTACTTGGTCGACTGACATTATGACGTCATTATAGAATCGGTATCGGGTAGATTGTTGCAATGAATAATCGGTAATTTCCGATTGTGACACAATCGGGTCAATCACTACTAGAAAGATCAGTTTAGAACTGATGGAACTATACAGTCTAAAAAAGATTACTTTAGTTTGATAAAACGTACACTCGGTATTCTTATACTGTGTTCAGCTGAAGTGGATTATTATAATTTAAACCTCTACCTATTATTGTACAGTTTATGCATGACTTCATACATGTAACCTATTCTTTCACAGCTGCAAGCTAAGACAGTCACACCGTGTATTCCATTTATTAATGGACTTGATTACGCTTGATTATATGCATACAA